GTCACCTCACTGTCTCTAATTTGCCTTACCCAGACGGACTGTCACCTGCACCACCTTCAGCCCTCAGCACGTCGTCTCTCCCCTCTCTGCATCCCCTTGCCCTCAAAAACCTGACTGAGGAGACAGTCTGGAAGTTTCTGGTCCCACTGGGTATCCCCTGGCTCTCTGGGGTAGGTAGAACCTGATACCAATTCTCAGCTGTCACCTTGATGTCACCCTGCCATGACAGCCCCCAGGCCAGGAATCCTCAAGGAAGCGGGCTGGCCACCAATTCCTACAGATGAGTAGCATTGACGGAAAACAGGAAAGGAGGTTAAGCAGAGAAGACCGTTAGGCTACATCCAGCTCGCCATCTCGAGGCCAATCAAGTGCTTCATGAAGAGGAGGCCCATGGGAGATACTCAGTTAACACCTGGGATTTTCCTAATGAAGCCACTTGGGGGGAGTGGTGTTTAGACGGTAAGGAAAATGAAAAATAAGAAAAGCTTAGCATTTCAGAGATGCATCGGAGGATCACAATCAGTTCTATACTGCCAAAGATTAAAAAAGTAAAAATTAGAAATAAATCAAGAGCAGCAGATTTGTCGAATGCACTATATTGCTTGGCTTCTTGACTATTGTGTGTTCCATGAGTGTTGATGGTGGAGCCATGCATGATGAAGTCTTTGACAACTTTAATATTTTCTTCATTTATCATGATATTCTTTACTGGTCCAGTGGTGAGAATTTTTGTCTTCTTTACACTAAGGTGCAACCCATACTGAAGGTTGTGGTCTTTTAGCTTCATCAGTAGGTATTGTAAGTCCTCTTTGCTGTCAACAAGTAAGGTTGTATCATTTGTATATTGCAGGTTGTTAATGAGTCTTTTGTCAATCCTGATGCCATACTCGTCTTCATATAATCCATATTCTTGAATTATTGCTCAGCATACAGATTGAAAAAGTGCAGTGAAAGAATGCAACCCTGGTACATACTAAAATTTCAGAAATGGACGACAATCCATTGAAAGGGCAGAGTAGATGTGAAACAATGGAAGCCTGTATTAGTGAGCTTGAAGATCAATCTCTTAATGCTAGAAGAACAATCAGAAAAAAGAATGAAAAACTCCAAAGAAAGTTTAAGAGTTATGTGGGGTACCATGAAAAGGAACAACTTACAAATGATCAGCATTCCAGAACAGGAAAAGACAATAAGAAGCACAGAGAAAATTGTTGAAGAGTTGTTGGAAGAAAACTTCCCTAACATCATGAAAGATGAGACAGTACACATACAAGAATCTCAGTGAACCCCAAACAGGATACATCCCAAAAGGAAATCACCAGGACATACCATAATGAAACTTTCAAGACCCAAAGACAAGGTAAGAATACTGACAGTAACTTGTAAAACATGAAACATTACCTACAAAGGAAAACCAATAGGACTAAGCACTGGTTTCTCAGTAGAAACCACGCAGGCAAGAAGACGATGGGATGACATATACAAAACTCTGAAAGAAAAAAAGTAGATAACCAAGAATCATATGCCTAGCAAATTTGTCCCTCAAATAGGATGGTGAAATTAGGACATTTCCAGAGAAACAGAAATTAAAAGAATTTGTAATGACCAGGCCAACTTTACACAAAATGCTAAAGGGTGTTCTTTGAGAACCAACAACAGCAGATAACAACCTGAGATTACCATACATGACAACACCAGCCAGAACTCAATTCAGATATAGAAGTGTTTAAAGTAAAACAAACCTACAAGATTGAAATAGGGAACCAGAGATATCAATGTACAGTGAAGTCAACTACAAAGCATAAAGAAGGAATAGGTTAGATACAGAACTTACACATGGTAAGGAAGTCAGGTAGATTTCAAGGTAAAAATAACTATTTTAATAGGGGAAAATTACATGGTAACCTCAAAGAAAACTAATATACCTGCACATCAAAAATTATAAAAAGGAAATCAGAAAGATTTAGTAAACATTAACACAACAGAAATGAAAAAGGAAAGGAAAACCAAAATTAACAGTGCAGAAAATTACACGGAACAAAGAAACCAGCAACATCACAAAAAGCACACAGCAAAATAACAGTCATTAATTCATAACCTATTGATAATTACCTTGAATGTAAATGGATTAAATGCCCTTGAGAGATAGAGCAGAATGAGCAAGAAAATAGGATCCTTCAATACACTGTCTACAAGAGACATATCAAAAAGATGGAGTCAGCCTAAAAGCCTGTCAAAAGAAGCATAGTTAAACAAACTTTGGTACACACACACAATGGAATACTGCAAAATGCTGCAGAATAATGATGAACTTGTAAAACACCTCACAACAAGGATAAACCTGGAGGACACTGTGCTGAGTGAAATTAGTCAATCCACAAAAGGAAACATTGTATGAGACCAAGGTTGTAAAAAGTTAAGATTTTCTTGATAAAAGGAACAATCTATAATTGTTACACGGGGAGGGAGGAGGAAGGGAAAATTATGTACGGTTTAGAGGGTAGATACATGTTAACATGGGTGACAGGGCAGGCAATATACAACAAGAAGGAGGTCAGCAGAGCAAAGATGAAAGTAGCAGAGACACAAAGAGAAATGCCATTGTCAAAGTGACTAGAAGTACAAATGGTTAACTGTTAACATTGAGGGGGTTGCAATCATTGTAATAAAGCAAATTATTTGATTTGATGAATGTACAATTGATGCTCTGCTCTGTAAACCTCCACTCAATTCATAATAAAAAGTTTGAAAATAAATTTCAAAGATAAATAGAGTTAAATAGTGTTGATTGATGGTACATGGTGGGGATTGCGATCATTGTAACGGAAGGAAGGGGATGACTTGTTGAATGTAGGACTTATGATCTGCTCTGGAAAGCTTCACTCAATTGACAATAAAATTGTAAAAAATACCCTGGTGTGGGTCAGCCACATGCTAGTTGTCGAGCTGTACTTTGAAAATTTCTGTTCACTTCTGTTACTTTCTCATTACTTTCATTTGCTTCAACAATTCTATGCTGGCGAGTTTCAGTATGTCTTCGGACATCCATTTTATCTTTTTCTTTTTTCATGTCTTCTAAATGATTTTTGCTTTCTTCTTGTTTGATGTTCTTGATGTCATCCTACAACTTTTTTGGTCTTCCATCATTAATGTCTAATTTATCAAATCTGTTCTTGATTGTTGTTGTTGTTGTCAGGTGCCATCAGGTCGGAATCAACTCATAGCGACCTCGTGCACAGCAGAACGAAACAATGTCCGATCCTGGGCCAACATCACTACTGTTGCCACACTTGAGTCCATCAATGATGCCACCTGGCCAATCCATCTCGTTGGGGGCCTTCCTCTTTTTCTCTGACCCTCCACCTTACCCAGCATGACATCCTTCTCCAGCAGACAGTATGTCCAAAGTAGGAGAGACGAAGCTTAGCCATCTTGGCCTCCAAGGAGCACTCTGGCTGCACTTCTTCCAAAACAGATCTATTGGTTCTTTTGGCAGCCCATGGCACTTTCAGTATTCTCCTCCAACACCACAACTCAAAGACATCAATTCTTCTACGGTCTTCCTTATTCACTGTCCAGCTTTCGCATCCATATGAGGTTATTGAAAATACCATGGCCTGGGTCAGGCACACCTTAGTCCTCAAGCTGACATCTCTGTTCTTCAATACTTTAAAACGTTCCTGTGCAGCAGATTTGCCCGATGCAATACGTCTGTTCTTGATAGGATGTCTAAATTAAGGTGGAATTTGGTTTTACTCTCATGGACTTATTTTAATTTTCTTGAGCTTCAGCCTGAACTTCCATATGAGCAATTGATGTTCTGTTCCACAGTCTGCCCTTGGCCTTGGTTTGCATGATGATATGGGGCTTTTCACCATCTTTCCACATATGTAGTCAATTTAATTTCTGTATATTCCATATGGCAAGACCTATGTGTACAGTTGTCTTTTATGTTATTTTAAAAAGGTATTTGCAATGAACATGTCATTTGTCTTGTAAGATTTAATCTTGCCATCTCCAGCATCATTTCTATCACCAAGGTCATATTTCCCAATGACTGATCCTTCTGCTTTATTTTCAACTTTTGCATTAGAATCGCTAGTAATTATCAATACATGTTGATTGTATGTTTGATCAATTTCAGATGTAAAAAGTTAGCAAAACTTTTCAATTTCATCATCAATGGCTTTAGTGGTTGGTGCTTAAATTTAAATAATAATTTATTAATTGGTCTTCCTTGTAGGCTTATGGATATTATTCTATCACAGACATCTCTGTACTTCAAGACAGATCTTGAAATGTTCTTTTTGATGATGAATGTAATTCTATTTCTCTTCAATTGTCATTCCCAGCATAGTAACCCATGTGATTGTCATTCACAATGCCCTATTCACAATGCCCATTTCAGTTCACTAATGCCAAGGATATCAATGTCTATGTTATCCATTTTATTTTTGAGAATTTACAATTTTCCTAGATTCACATATGTTCTGATTATGTGTAGTCAGCTAATTATTGGAAAAACCTTTCCTTCAATGTCTGGAACCAATACAACTCCCAGGCTATGCTGAGAGGCTTCTTGTATCTTGGGGCACAACTTCAACAATCAGCCAGGCAGTTTACAACTATACTTTAGCCTTTTCTTTCTGCTTATACAGAACTTCAAGGTCATCAGAAGTGGGGGCTTAGGATCCTGAGCATCCAGCCACACACGTACACACGGCCTTCTCAGACATCAGCAGGACCTGGGGAGGCTGAAAGGCTCAGGGAGGCAGTTCACTCTTAAGCTGCCACTGGTCCTTCTCAGGGAGAAGGCTGGCGCCCAGGACCTAAATGTGGATCTTAGCCCTGGCACCCATCTTTCTGACCCTCCCTGTTATCCCACCTTTTAGGGATATGAGGTCAGAGGCAGGAGTTGGAGACAGATGCCAGGTAGAATCTCCCAACTGGTTTATTGCTGTTTAGGGTAAAGCGAGGGAGCTGGTTGGGGCTTGAGGCCTCTAGCGGGGCACAGCACAGAGCTGGTAGGGGGCAGGGGTCATCAGGAAGGAATAGAAGCCACGGTCACTGGGCCTGGGCTGTCCAGCGGGCACAGAGAAGCTGAAGCGCTGCAGGAGGCAGGTGAAGAAGAGGAAGAGCTCCATGCGTGCCAGTGACTCCCCGAGGCATGAGCGACGGCCTGTGGGTAGGCATGGGGCTCAGCTAGCTGGTGGGGGCTGAATCCCACATCCAATTCCCCCAGGAGAGGGGAGGGAGCCAGGTACCCCCCAGGCACCTGCTGAGAAAGGCATGAAGGCCTCCTGCTTCACGAAGTGGCCCTGGGCGTCCAGGAAGTGCTCCGGGTGGAAGCAGAAGGGCTTCTCCCAGACAGCCTCATCCTTCAGCACCGATGACAGGTTGAGGAAGAGCATGGTTCCCTGCTCAGGAGAGCCTGGTGAGGGTGGGGTCCTGGGCAGGGGACACTGTGACCCTGGTCACCAGTACATACATAGACACACCATCTGCCTGGCACATCCTGGAGTCATTCGAGGAAAGCTCAGCCCATAAAGCTCCTCTCGTCCCCAAGGCAGGGCCAGGTAATGCCTCTCCCATGGATGCATGCCATCACTGCCACCTGGCTCCTCACACACACTGTAGCATCTTTGGTTTATCTTCCACCAGACTAGGTCTCTGGATGGGACCCCACTCTGCCTGTGCTTTGTATCCCTTTACACAGTGTGCCAGGCACACTGATATCTGGCAATGAATGGATGGACAGTCTGGTACCAATCTTGGCTTTACCTGGCTAAGGCCATGCTGGGGTTACAAGCCTGTGGTATAGGGGCTGCAGCCATACCTTGGGGATGAGGAAGCCTTGCACCTCAGTGTCACGGGAAGTCATGTGAGGAATACCCAATGGCACTATGTCCGCAAAGCGTTGCACCTCGTGGACCACGGCTGTGGTGAAGGGCATGCGGGCCTGGTCAGCCATCTCAGGTCTCCGCACCTGCCCTAGCACCTCGTCAATCTCCTGCTGGACACGCCCTGCACAGACAAAAGTCCTACAGAAGCCACCAGGCCCACTCCCACCTTCCTCTGCCCCCAAAGAAAAATCTTGGTAGGAAGTGTGCCCACATGACCATAGTTATAGCTGCCAGGATTATCTTGGGCATCTGGCCATCAGAACTCAACTGAGGGGCCACCTTCTATTTCCCCCTTTGACTACCCGCCAGGCTCCAGGCTCCTCACGCTGCACTTCCGGGTGAAGGATCATGAACAGGAGGGCCCAGGCCAGCGTGGTGGAGGTGGTCACCATCCCTGCAGCGAAGAGGTCGCCCACCACCAGGCGCAGGTTTCCTTCATTGAAGGAGCTCTCGGGGTTTCCCTTGGACTGAGCCAGGGAGAGAACAGTAGAGCAGGGATCTAGAAGAAGCCCCAGACAGCCCGCACTGCTCCCATCCGTCTGGAGTGCTGGTCACTGGGAGATGGTCACCCCCACCTGGCCAGGCCTCACTGGAGTCTCACTGCACACCCCACCCTGTCCCAGGAAGCCACGCCTCACCTTCTCCATCTCATCCAGGAAGGCATCGGTCAGATCA